GGCATCTGAGCAGACACTGTATCGGCATGTGGTCATGCTCAGAGGGAGAACCAGCTGACACTCGCACTGTTCTTAGTAACGTCTGAAATGCTGTGAGCTCAGCTGCTAGCCAAGCCCCATGGAGATTAGGAGATCGGACATTTTAAAGTGATGTGATGGTCAGTGTTAATAAAACTGGGCTTCCACTTTGGAAAAGCAGGTTGAGTACATCCTTTTGCTTTCCTGCCACAGAATACCCACTGGGCAAGGAAGATGTGCACGATCAGTAATCCCAAATCCGTGCAAGCTAGGGCTCAGGTCTAGGTGACTTTTCATACTCCACGTTATCACTGAGCCCTGAGCACTGCTGGTGGGTACCATACACGGAGCCTGAGGGGGGCATTGCTATTCTTAGCAGCGATAAACTTCCAACAGCAGAGAGAAAATGTGTCACAGGGAGGAAATAGGATGTTAGTGGTTTGAATAAGTGCCTCAGAACTGCATTCATTCCATGAGACAGACTTTGCCATTCAAAATTCTTGGAATAAAAGTCTGGCAAGTGGATGCCACTTATTTAAAATCAATGTTCCACCCATGCCTAAAATGTAGACCCTGATCCCACATGAGATCCTTCCTCTCATTTTCGTGATTGGAAGCACGTGGGGCAGGGGAACGGCAGGTCTGGAGAAGACGGGCTCTCTTTTGAGCTCTGCTGTTGCTGGATGTGGGCCCCCGGCTCTACACGGGTACAATGGAGATTAACTGAAGTCTGCTTCACACCTAGTAAATGCTTGCACCTAATCTGCGCTCAAAATCTTGGTGTCCTTTGCTCGCCAGGCAAATTCACTACTACAAATGCACTTCATGGACAAGATTCTTTTCTCTTATCATGTGCCTGCTCTCCTAAGTCTGTAGTAGGCGTGTGCACCTTGGTGAAGGGGCTTGAGGAAAGTGCACGAGAGCAGCACGGGGGTGCATTATCCCACACAGAAAGGGTGTTGCTACACATGAAACCAACTTGTGCCCGGCCTTGCGATGCTGCCCTGGTCATCCACGGGACAGCAAGAAACAATTGTGAAAATGCCCATGGTCTTCAGCTTGCTCCTGCCCCCCATCAGCCACGCTCCACCCCTCCCAGCTGGGAATATAAGACAGTCAAAAAGTAGTTCAAGAATCTCCCGTTTCAGCCATCAGGAGTCATTCAGCAGGACTTTGATTCTATGCATTTCTGAGCCATGAGGGTGAGGCCAGGACCATGTTGGAAGAACTGACTAAAACGGGTGCCAAATGAAACTACATTCCACTGCGCATTCCCAGCAACATAAAATAATACAGATAAGAGGTTCACTGTTCAATCCCATCCACATCATGTTGGAAGTATAAAAGTCCATTATGGAGTTAATATTTATCTTTAAGAATTTCTTTTCCTTCTCTTACCAGCTTAATGGCACATCACGCCAATTGAGGAATACTTTAAGAATTCTAAAAATTCACATATTGTCAATCTGCAAAAGCAACAGAACAAAGCACTAGGAATAAGGAAAGCAAAACTGTTGTAGAGGGAGTTTCAGAGAGACTGTAATTTAATTATTCTTTGAAGTTTTAAATGTCCCTCCCCCACTTTGGAAAAATATTCATTTTTCCCTTTCTTTTCACTCACTGACTCAGTATCACAGAAACACAAATGAAGAAGAGAGAAACAGTAGATTCGTGTGTGTCTGCGCGTGCGTGCATGTGTGTGTGTACGCATGGACAGTGAGAGGGGAGATTACGTGAACATGTGGGATGTTTGCCCGGGTTATGGGAGCAGTTCTTAGCAGTCCACCAAGAATTCCCGGAATCAGAGTCAGTCCAGCCGCTTTCTTCCAGGTCAGTGTCAACTTAAGCAGCCTCTAAAGATCAACAGGATCTTTCTCTCCACATTATGATTTCTTGCTAAGCCTCTATTTTAAGGAAGAAATGGAAGAAATCGGAGGATGAAGTGAGGGGAAAAAAGCAGGAGAAAGGAAGGGGGAGAGGGAAAAGGGAAGAGAAGGGAGGAGAGAGAAGAAGTGTTTGAACATGAACAGGGGGAGGAAAAGTCACAGCAAGGAGGGAGGGAAGAGGAAGAAAAGGAGGAGAGAGGGACAGCAGAGGGCTGAGTGGGTGGAGGGCCTTTCCCCAGCTCCACCAACCCGCTCGACAGACGGGAAACCAGATACAGCAGGACATTGTGTTCTTCTCCTGAAAAACAACCAGACTGCGCTCCTAAAGTAAACAGTTAATCCTGTTGTTTATCTTTGTAACATGACGAGATGTTAACAGGATGATTTCTACTGCACAGAAATGTGGTTTTTATTCATTTAAAAAATGATATTTTCTCTTTGCTAAAATACAAGTGTGACATACAAACTTTCTAATATCAATGAACGGGAAGGAATAACAATCTCTCTTTGGTAAAAGTGACTTAACTAAAGGATGCCAAAAAAGTCTGAGAAAGGCCTTTTCTTTACTTGCACATCCTATTTATTTTTGGAAAATACTGCATTACTGGAATTAACCAAGCCAAACTAAAACAAAACCTGCTGTAAGCTTGGTCCATCCCGGAGTATGATCTGGGGCATTGCTTGTGGAGATAAGACTATAACTGGGCCAAGACAAGAGTAAGAAGTAACCCTGTTAAAATAACACCAGCATTTTTCACAGAGCTAGAACAAACAATCCTAAAATTTGTATGGAACAAGAAAAGACCTTGAATAGCCAAAGTAATGTTGAAAAAGAAAAGCAAAGCGGGAGGCCTCACAGTTCCAGACTCTAACCTGTATTGCAAATTTCTAACAAGGTAACCATGGATTCACATGCAACTATAAGGTATGCTATCGAGCTCGGATGTACACTTTGCCCAGTCTCCCCCACTAGTGTAGTAGTATACTAGCAAATAATAGTACAACATCACAGCTAGGACACTGACATTGATACAATCCACCAGTCTTATTCAGATTTCAGAAAAACACATTTCACTTGTGCTCGTGTGCACGTGTTCATGTGTGTGTTCAGTGCTCTACAGTTTTACTACATGTTTAGGATCCTATATCCAATACCAGTCAAGACACTGAAGAGTTCCAGGGCACCTGGCTAGTTCAATCAGAAGAACATGAGACTCTTGATCTTGGGGTTGTGAGTTTGAATCCCATGTTGGGTGTAGAGATTGCTTAAATAAATTTAAAAAAACACTAAAAAAAAGACACTGACCAATTCTTTATGCTGCCTTTTATAACCCACTTCCCACTATCTCCCCACCCCCATCCCAACATCTAGACGCTATTAATCTGTCTTCCATTTCTAAAATTCTGCCACTTCAAAAAGTTATAAAAACAGAATTGTCCAGTTCATAGTCATTGGCATTGGATTTTTTTTTCCCCTCAGCACAGTTTCCTAGTGATTAATCCAAGCTATTATGCCTTTCATTTCTATAGCAGTTTTGAGACATAATTAACATACCACAAAATTCACCCTGTTTTTATTAACAGGGCAGAATACATATAGCATAAAATTTACCATTTTAACCATTTTAAGGTGTGCAATTCAGTGGC